CATAACCAGTCCTATAAAAGATTTTTGTTTGGGGGTTTGGTTTGGTTTTGTTTTTGATACAGGGTCTTGCTATGTAATTCAGCTGGCCTTGAGCTCACTTAGGTACTCCAGGCTGGCCTTAGGTATCTCAGGCACAACCATCCTCCTGCCTCAGCCTCCCGAGTGCTGGGATTACAGGCATGAGCCACTATGCCCAACTGTTCAATAAAAGTTATGAATGTATTTGATATTCTTTTTCTTCTTAAGTCTTTGGAATCTAATGTGTATTCTGTACAATTCCTACCAGCTATGTTATAGGGGCTCCATAGCTCCATTGGTCAGTGGCTGCCATATTGGTTAGAGCAGCTTTAGACAGTAACTGGGTCTGGCTTCAGTGTCCTGCATAACTTGAGACCCTTCTTTCTCTACATCATTATAATTCATAAAGGTTTGCAGCTGGTGACCATTTTGCCATTCAAAAAAGTTTCTTCATGGTATTTGGCTCTTGCCAATAATACTAACAAAAATCAGCAAGCACAGTGTTAAGGGTGTCTTTAAGGATTTGGGGAATTTCAGATATGTGGTGTATAGCGCCCCTCCCATAGATCCTTTTACAGATGGTAGGTTTACTGTGTGTTATGGTTTACATCTAGATGTTGCCCAAAGACTTGTGAGTTCACAGGTGGGGTTTGGGTGGTGACAGTGCCATGATACTTACCAGTAACTGAATGATGTTAAGAGGTGAAGACTGGCTGGAGGAGGCAGTCTCTGGGGGTGCGGCCTGGAAAGGCCTATCTCACTCCCTCTTCCCTGGAGCTCTCTCTGCCTCCTGACTGCCCTGCCACAAACTTCTCCTTTGCCTTGCTCCTCTTCCATGCTGCCCTGACTTGGAGTCAACCAACCTTGGACTGAAATGTCTACAAACCGTGAGCCAAACTAACGCTCTCCTCCTTTAAGTTGTGGGTGTCAGGGATTGTGTCTCAGCGACCAGAAAGTAACTAATACACCATGCATTATATTGTAATGAGAAGGTAATAAAGGGGGCTCTCACTGCCCCTGCTCACCTGACACCAGACGAACATAACACCTGGTTCTCACTGGGAGCATCCTCCTGCTGATCTTGGCACCAGGCGCTGCCAAGGGGCAAAAGTTGCTAAGTGTTGCTTTTTGAAAGACAATAAGCTGCACATGGTAGGCCTGAGAGCATGACTTAATCCAATGCCAAGTTGAATATTTTTAAACATTCTTCCCATAGGGGTAGGGGAGGAGAAGTGTTGGAATAATCTGTGGAGCCAAATGCCTTGCAGTGGTGATGCTTATTGCAGTTTCTGTCTGCTGGTTTCGCTAAACCTCTGCACATGAAGAAGGAGCACACATGCTCGCTGGAGTGACCTCTGCTGCAGTCTCCTTGGGCACCTGGCAGTGGGGGCCGAAGACTGCAGTTTCTAAGATGTTATTTAAGGTTCTCTTCAACTGTCCACACCGAACATTGATTTTCAGTCACAGCTATGTGCCTGGGGGGCTGGCTCTCTCCACTGAGCCACAGAGAGCATTTTCAGTGCATCAAACACAAGCAAAAGGCAGGACTCAGAGGGAAAGAGGAACTACGCTTTTAGGGCTGGACATGGCTCAGCAGGGTAAAAGTCACATCAAATATTAAACTGAATGGGAATCTTTTTTAATGCTCTGAAATCTGTTGGCATATGAGACTCAGTGAGAGACACAAAAAAGAAAGGATTAATTACCTCTTATAATGGAAAAAATGTTCCCCTGGCAGAATGAAGCAAGTCCTAGGACCTGATACACAGAATGCTGCACTCGTCTTTCCGTGGTGGACTTGACACTGTAAATCACAGGGGTCAAGCCTGAAAGGGTCGATCAGTCAAGATGCGGTGGGAACGGGTCAAGGTCATGAGTTAATACAAGGACGGGCAGGTCCACTTTGCTCCACAGTCAGCAGCTATGCCGCAAACACTGGTGATAAAATGCCCGCTGTTCTCAGGAAGACGTGGCTGGGCGAAACTGCCACCCAGACGGAGCTGCCCCATCCAGCACCAGAGCAGCAATCGCCCATAGAAATTTCTGGCATGAAGTGAGACTGGACTCAGGCAAGTCTTCATGAGCTCACGCTGCCATGACAAAATACCATGCCCTGAGGGGCTTAAACCTCAGAAATTTGATTTCTCATAGTTCTGTAAGATGACTGTCCCAGCTCAGAGTGCCAGAAGCCGGCCTGCACATGGCCTTTCCTCCGTGCATGAGCACAGAGAGACAGACAGAACTTCTGCACTGTACAAGGTCGCCAGGCCTATCGGCATAGGTCCCACCCTCATCTAACTCTAACGACCTCCTGAAAGTCCTGACTGCAACATGAGTTTGGGGAGATGCAGGTCCCATTCCATCCACATTCCCTTTCCATCCACAGCGCCGCCCCGATCAGACACAATGTTCACTAAAAGTAAAAACAAGAAGATAACTTTTCTCCTCTGAGTGACTCAGTTGGGCACCTTTAACCCAGGTCTTTTTCCAGACAGCAGCAGAACTGACTGTGAGTAATGAAAGCACAAACCCGAGTGGACAATTAAAAACTCTGCAGACTTGATCTTTCCATACGGTGACGTGCACAGTACCTGGTACTTAATGAACTGGCCCTATCTACTGAAGTCGTGAATCTATGAAAGAATGAATGAATGGAATGAATGAATGATGAGCATTTTCTGATAAGGGCAAGGGATGAATCTGAATGAAAATCAGAGCCAAGAATGGCCTCAATGAAGCTTATTTTAAGCTAAATTTCACTTAAAATGACTTCTCTTTGAAAATGAGGATTTCAAAATAGAAAAGTATAATATTTTGAACACTGATAATTACATCTCTTATCAAATGCATGGATTCTTATAAAATAATTCAGCTACTACACAGCCAATTTAATTAAAATTTATAAGTGGTTGCAGACCAAACTAAGTGTATCTTAATTAAATCACAACATGGCTCACAGATGTTAAGGTTGACCCCAATTTTAATAAAGAAGACACAACTACAATCATTAGGGACACAGCTGAGTAATTTTGGTCAGGGGGAAAATAACATGAATGGGAGGCCCAGAAGGTCCCTTCTTCTTAAGGCTACAAAGTAAAATGACCCCCAGGGTAGGGTGTGCTGAGATTTGGAGTGGCCTGGCCAGCAATCCACCAAAATGGAAATAGGACCCTTGTGTATGAACACCCAAGCTGCTCATCAAGTATTGAATTTGTGCTTGAAAAAGGCTGGGGCACCATCTCTAACAGTATACACATGCACCCCACAACACATGCACACACGCACACACACACACACACACACACACACACACACACACACTGAGGTCCTGATCATTTTTGCCAATCAGCCTAATCATAAATGGAGACAGAGTGGTCTTAGCAAAGCCAGTGATGGAGATTAGAGATTTACCGGCTTTGCTATTAGAAGGCACCCAGTCAGATTAGGATTTCAGAGAAACAAAATATAACTTCTTGCTATAAGTAATGTATGTTCCATGTCGTATGCACCATGTGGGCTTTTTTCCTCAAAATTTGGCAACTATCCTTGAGGTTAAGCCTGTCACAAAAGTGTTATCAAGACCTTCTTGTATTTCCAATATAAACCACAGCACTTGTTGAAGAATTATCATTAAGGAATAAAGTTGGAAATAGTAAGGCACACCTGAATTACACGGGTGGCCTTTGAAATCAAGAAAGAAAGAAAAAGCCTCCTTTTCAACATTCAGGTACTCCTATCCACCCATCTGGGAGTCCTTCTTTTTAATGTATCTTCCCCAGAAGGGAGAAGGAAGATGTCAGCCACAGAGAACCATGTTGGTCAGAAAATCAACAGAGAAACATTGATCCTAGGTCTATTCTGCAAGCTGACCACATATGGATCAAAGCCCACCAGCACTTCTGCCCTCCCAGAGACCCAGTGGGCAGATGTAGAGACTGAGTTCCCGGACAGTGAAGTAACTTTTCCGAGGTTTGGCCAGGTCTCATGGCAGAGGTAAGAGTGGTGTTCTGCTTGTATGTTATCTCCCTGTGAGTTTTCAGTACTAAATAAAGTTTACAAGTGCTACTGAAGATCAGATGAAGAGAAAAAAATCTCTTCCAATTTAGATATCTAGAAAAATAGATCAGACTAGGTAGATTAAGATGCAATGCATTCATTCCACAGTATTTAGTCCATGTCCACTCTGTGTCCAGCACTGTTGTAGCTGCAGGGCCCACTGACGCACTCTTCCTGCAAGGAGACTGACAAGATGGTCGCCACACTCTTCCCCACACCTGGCTGATGCTATCAGACTACATTTCCCAGCTTGCATGTATGTGGTATGTGATTAAGCAGTAGCCAAATAAAGGTGGGTAGGAGTGATGTCAGCTGTTCCCAGACCAGGTCTATTGGAACCTTAGAAACTTTCCATATTGGTCAAAGTTCTCCAGAGAAACCTATGAGGAAGATTGTGTAGCTAGTATGAGAGAAAAGGAGAATTGGAGAGGGAGAAGATGGGGAAGAGAGAGAGATTGACAGGGAGGTGATGGTTTGTGAGATTATGGAGGCTGAGAAGTCTTAGTATCTGCCGCCTCCAAGCTGGAAACCTGACCAACACAAATGATGGTGTGGGTTCCAATCAGAGTCTGAAGCCTGAGATCCAGGAGCACGGAAGTCAGGATAGGTCTGACGTCACAGATCAGACAGTCAGTCAGAGAACTCACCCTTCTTCTGAGTTCCTGTTTTATTCAGGCCCTTCACAGGCTGGAAGATGCCATTCCAGGTCAGGGAAGCCCAGCTGCTTCATTCAGTCTATGGATTCAAGGGCTAAGCTCTTCAAGACATACCCTCTGCTGGGGTTGTTACATAAAATAGTCCCCAGAGTATCATTGCATTCCAGCCTTGATTGCCAGCTGATGGGCTTCGGCAGTGACTGGATGGTCAGGGTGGTCACTTCACCAGTGGAGGGTGGTCACTTCACCAGTGAGGTGAGGTCACTCACCTCACCAGTGGATCATACACTGTTAGGATCAAAATTGGACGGCATTATTGAGAAGCAATGGAAACTTAGGAGATGGAGCCTCATTGAAGGGAGTGGATCAAGTGGCCGTGACCTTGGAGACTAGATCTTGTCCTGGGCCACTTTTTCTCTACCTCTTCCACTCTCTCCCTGCTCCAGGCCAACATGCCATGAGCGGCTCTCCTCTCCACCCCTCATTAAACATTACTTCTGTGTGCTTCTTGGGGTCTCATCACCACAGTGACACCCCTAAGAGAAACAACTTACACGAGAAAATGTTTACTTAGTCTCAGTTTCAGGAGTTGGGGTTCATGGCCGGCCGGTGCTGAGGCAGAGACATCATGGCAGAGGAGGTGGAGAGGAGAGCCCCTCACTGCATGTTGGCCTGGAACCTCTTCACCAAGCAGGGAAAGCTGAGGAAGCTGGATGTTAAGTACTCTTCAAGAACAGAGGCCATGCTGGGCTCTGGCAGCAGTGGGGCACAGCAGAGGCAGCTCAAAGATGTCTCATTCTGTGTTAGTACTCAAGAATAGAGATGGCTTCCTTAAACCCAGCTGTCACAAAATAACCATAGCCAACCCCAGGGTGGAACCAACTGTTTCAGTAATTGTACCCATCAATGCCATCCCCAGCACCAGGCAATGAGAGGAAGAAGAGAGACTTCTTGTACCTTCACTGTGGCTTGTAAAGCTTCAGTGAAAGAACTTCTGCTCTGAGTGACTATTTTTAAAGTCTGTGTCGCAATCTCTACTCTGGAAACAGGTGCACTCATGGGTATATTTTCCTTAATTTAATAAAATAGTGGAATAACGTTCCTGCTAAAATTCTACTTTAAAGGTTGTTGTTTCTAAATGTGTGGAATTACAGGCAGTCACCTCCACCCACCCAATTTTCAATCAATCTTCTCCAAAGCCCCATTGCGGTTTTGTTTGAACCTGGGGTTCATTATTCTGGAGAACAAGGCCACAAACACAAGTGGGTTCTCAAAGCCATTATCTCAGGGTCTACTTAGAAGTGTTCTGAGACAAGGCAAATTTGCAATAATAAAACAGTAATGAGTTCAGTTCTGGTAATAATGACTGAAATATCAAAACAGTAACCTAGAAAAGGTGTGTGTTGTTAGGACTCCTGAACTGTGATGAAGAAAGCCAGGTTGGAGGACACTGGGCAGAGGAAGTGTCTGTGGCAGTTCCACAGAGGACATTCAGGCACTGCCAAGAGGCCAGCAGTGCCTCGTTTACCTCTAGTTCTCCCTGGGAAAGGCCTGGCTTGTGCTTAACACCAGGTGTCCACAGGCACTGCCCACCAGCCCTTCTCAGCCAAGAGTTCAGCTGGGCTGCTGTCTCATCCTTGCTTGATTTACAGTTTGGGTTTTGGTTCAGCAAGAGAACTATAAAGGGGAAATAAAGCGTGCTTAGTGTGCCTGAGCACCATTATAGAAAAGAGAGAGGGAGGAGGGTAGACAAGTGTGGCAGGGAGGTGGTGTAACCAGTGGAAATCCATGAGCTGAGGGCACAGGGAGACGTCTGGGAGTGGTAAAACATGTAGAAGATACACTGCAGGCCACCAAGTCCCTCCTGCACTTCAGGTGGCTATATCCCAACTCCCCCTCCATGGCCATGGACAAGTGTCCAGCCCTGATGGCCATTAGGAAGGAGGGATTAGCAAGCAGTCCTCATAGGCACTTCTGGGAGTGGCTGTCGTTGTTGGAAGGTCATGTGACACACAGAGGGGGAGACATGTTGAAGAATGTCAGTGGCTGGTGGAGAGTGTGGTCCCTTCTGCTCCTACCTATGGATGGAGGATGGAGGCAAGAGCTCTGCTTTTCCTGCAGATGCCATCCTTGGGCTCTACCTCCTGGGGACCTGGGTGCCTGAGAACATCCGAGGCCATTCAAAAGGGAGGTTGAGCGCACAGTGCAATTCTGATGGATACAGCCGAGCTCAGGGCTGAGGCTGGCCTTGCCCAGCAGCACAAATAGGTGACATCAAAGGGCGGTCTGTGAGCAGATGCACAAGAAGTAAAGGTCCCGGTGCTGCCTGCAGGGGGCTTGACAGCCAAGCCAGTGTGGACTAGCTTGCTGGCCTGGACCAACTCCTGTCCTTCCACTGGTGTTTCCCCTGAGCCCTCACCCTGCTCCCTGGACCACCGTAGTAGCTTTCTATGACCATAACACATACCTGACAGCAACCAGCTTATAAAGAGGAAAGGTTTATTTTGGTACACCGTTTTGGAAGTTTCATTCCATGGCTGTTTGACCCTGTTGTTTTCAGCCTCAGATGAGGCAGCATGACATGGTTTAAATCCTGGCCAGGAGTCAAAAAAGAGAAGAACAGTGTGGTGTCCCACTACCCACTTCAAGGGCACTCCCCCAGTGACTGGAAGACCTACCACTAGGCCTCACCTCTTAAAGTTTCCACCATCTGCCAATCACACCACAGCAACACTCAACCTTTACCTTTGGGGGACATTTAAGATCCAAACTATAGCAGCCACTGAGCTATGTCTGTCCCTGCCCCCTTTCAGGGCCACCACGCTGCTGCTCCATAAATCACCGAAACTCTCTGCAGCAGGGTGACTCGCAGGCTGGCTCTTTCTCCAATGCTCCTCCCCAAATCCATTCTTTATCGTGCACACATTATTAACTTATGACAAGGACTTATCTAGCTTTTAATGGTCAGAGACAAGTTATTGAATCTCAGATACCATTTTCTCTTTCTGAGAGCTCAGCTCTTGCAAATCAATAGCCTTGGATCTCATGACTCACATCCAAAAAACTCAAATCCAAAAAATCTGAGAAGCTCATGATAAGACATGACTGCTCCGTTACTGGTGTTGTTCCCTGCTCGTGCCTTTTAAGAGAGAAAGATGTGGCCACCTCCACTTCCTGATATCAAGAACAGAGGGATGTAAGAAGCACCAGTGTGGATGTTTGGAGGTGAATCCAAATTTTTACCCATTGTAGCATTTGGATAATTACTGCAAAAATGTCTTCTATACTTACAAACAGTTCCAGATACATACATCTACCTGTGTGCAGGTGCCCCTGCCTGGGAAACGGGGTATTGCCTTTGAGTAGTTGGTGGATGAACAGCAGGATTTTGGTTAATTTATGAATTTCTGAATTATTCATATGTGCTGCCCTGAACATGTACAGGGACTGTTGTTAAAAATAAATAATAAATACACTTTCACAAAGAAGCAGTGGACAACAAACATAGAACAAAACTGCTGTGCATCTTTGCATTATATGTGTGTCAGAGCCAAGGAAATTGATGGTGAGAGACCTGCTGGCCGTACGGAAAGTATAGAACAATCCAGGCTTCTACTCACTGTGTGTGTTGTATCCAGGATTCAGGTCCACAGCCTCAGCCAAGAGCACCCAGCACTTCTGGATCTGTCTGGCTCTCTGCGGTCACAGAGCGGTTTCCTCAGGCTCCCTCCAGCCCAGCCTTATGCACACTCCATGGTCCACGCTTCAGTTCTGAAGGATGGGAGGTTTCTAGAGTCAAGATCTTTGGCAGCTCTGTAATAGGACAAGTAGGTGCACAGCATCATCATGCACCCAGCTGTGAACAGAACCCCTCCCATCATTCACTGTCTCCAAGGAGACGGGGTCCCTTCCATCTGCAGTCACATCTTGGGGCTAGATTCCAACCTCATCTGAGAATTGCTTGGTATGATATTAGTCCCACATGAGGTCCACGTCCTGATCCCCTGCCCTTGTAGATATATCACAGTTCAAAGAACTACGTGATTAAGGATCTTGAGATGAAGAGATTATCCTGATTATCCTGGTGGGCCCAGCTTCCTAAGCACAAGTATTTCTTATAAAGGGAGAACATAAGTATTCCTTATAAAAGGGGAGGGGAATTATCACAGAAGAAGAAAAAGCCACGTGACTATGGAATAAGATTGGAATGACAAGGTCAAATGGTGGACAGCCATCAACTCTGGAAGAGGCAGGAAACAGATTCCACCTGGAGCTTGCAGAGGGAACCAGCCCTGTTGACACTTTGATTTTAGTTGGGTCAGCATATTAGCAAGCCTTCCTGCCCCTGGGACACAATACTTGGCATAATTTAAAGGAGGCACAATTTCATTTGGCTCACGGTTTCCGGGGATTCAGTACAGGCTCAGCTGGCGAGAAGGCAGGGACGTCAAGGCAGGGGGCGTAGTGGAGCAGAGCCTCTCACTTCATGGTGGCCAGGAAGCACAGCAGAGGAACAGAGCCAGGCAGAGAGGGGCCAGGGACCAGATATAGACCCCAAGGTTGCACCTCCATGAACCCCCTCGGACATATCCAGAAATTTGCTCTACTGATTTCCTGGGCACTTCTTAATTTGGCATGGTTAACAATCATGGTAAGTCATGGTTTGTTTATCTTTAATCCCCAGAGTAAATATGTGTTATTTTGAACCTTGACATTTGTGGTCATTTGTTATAGCAGCCAGAGAGAGGTCCTGCCTTCCCATGCCCCGCATTCTAATAGGATAATGGCTGGAATCTTCAAGAGGCTCTTACCAGTGACAACCCAATGGCCACAGTGAGGCCTTGATCTCTGAAGCTGCCTAGGAAACTCATGACCTGTAGGAGGGTGTCCCAGAAGGGTGGAGCAGGGAATGCAGATCTTGTCCGTTTTTAATTTTCCTTGCTCCTGGGTCAGGATGTTCAGTGCTAAAATCCTGTCATCATAGAAAAGAGTCAAAAGTGTAAGTTCTGTTGGCAACAAGAATTAGCAATTAGAGGCCACCACCTTCTCAGTAAGGAGCAGCAGTCAGAAACTCTAAAGTCAGCTGCTCAAAAAAGGGTTGTGTTAGTTAGGCTGGGGACTCTGGGTTTGGAGGTCACAGGCTTGACCTCTAGACCCAACTGTCCTAAGAACCCAACGCTGTCATGCAGGTTTCTGAACAGGTTGCACTTGCAGCTTTTCATCTGTCAAATAGGAATCAATTACGCCTCCTCTCCAGAGGCTCTGCAACATCAGCTGCATGAGGCCTGTGGTAACTGTCATGCTGTTTGTAACCCACCAGTGGTTTCAAACACCTTGGCACCAGGTGACAGAGCATGGCCACTGCATGGTGGACACAAACCTGGCAACAGAGTTGGAGACAAGAAAGCAGGACTACTGTGGACAAGTGACAACCAGGGTGAAATGGGCTCTGTGATTCACCTCCTTGGAACACACCACTTCAGTGTTTCCAGAGGTTTGGCTAAAGGAAAATTTCTTCAACGTGAAACAGAGACAGAAGCCCAACACGTAAAACTAATACAGTGGGCATTACTCAGATTGGCATGAGGAACGGCCCTCAGCACCTGGCCAGGCCCCTGTAGCTCCCCCGAACAATTCTCTGGAAAACCTACAGCCAGCTTGCCCATTCATCCTCATGGCCATTAGAGCCCACTGGTCCCACAGAATGTTTTAAACCAAACCTGAGACCTTTAACATGAAAAAGCAAAGGCACCAAAATTACATTCTCATTGGGCAAATGTCAGACCGGTACCAGCATGTGAATGATGGAGCAGAAGGGACCTTTAAGAATCGTATAAATCGACCCCCTCGTTTTACACCACCAAGCACCCAACACTCAGCGTCCCCCACTGAGGGGCTGTCTCCCGCTGTCTCATGCTGCGGCACACTTTCTCATGCCCAGCGCTGTGTCTCTAGACCCTGCCCCCACCCCAGCCTCTGGGCCTCCTCTGATCTCTCTCAGCCAGCTTCACACAGTTGTATACATCTGCACAATCCCTCTCACTCCTCGTGAGCCTCCTTGCCAGTATTCTGTGGCTATAGGGGAACAAAAACTAAACACTGGTGTGTCCCAAAGCTAACCCTAGTCAGTCACTAAGGAAGAAACTATAAAGTAATGCAACTTATAGAGCCCCTGGGTTGACTTACAGAATGCCTGTGCAACTTACAGAACACCCAATCTGTTTTGAGTCTGTGCAGACTTGAGAAGGGTTTGCATGGTCGGTCTGTGGTGTGTCCTAATCTGTGGTCATGGGTCATGGTGTTGTACATGCCCCAGTGGGCTTGGCCACCTGGCCCTTTGTGCATTCTAACCATTAGGCTGCACTGTCACCCCATTCTATCACATGCCAAGGCAGCAGACAGACACTGAATGGTTGGGAAAGGGGTGTTAAAGGAAGAGTCCTCAAAGGAATGTTTGCTACTATGGTCAGAAGAAACAAGATGTATTGGAAATAAAGGCAAATCAAGGCAAGTAAACATAGGCTATTCACCAGAGCTTGCTGTAGCCAAGGAGTCAGCCACCACCACCAGCCTTTGGCAGAGACCCTGTGGCAAGCAAGGAGTACAGAGCTGTACCAGAGGCAAGGGCAGGTTTCAGTGCACCTCACTGGGTGCTGGGGGTCAACAGAAACTGCGGACAGGTAGAAAAGCAGGGCGAGCCATGAGACTGGTGGGGCATATTTGGCTTTCTCTGGCCAGTCCTAAGTTAGAAGTATGGGGAAAGGATTAGAGAAACTGTCCATTATGAGTCAAGCATGGGCCATTGGGGGCTGATGGTTAGCAGCATTGTTGTTTGGCTTCCTTGGTTCCTTGCTAGAGCACTGCAGTCTGGGTGTGACTGAAGTGTGTGCCCAAAGCTCTGAGCACTGGAGGCCCTCAGTGTGGCAGTGTTAGGAGGCAGAAGCTTTCAGCTGACAGGACCTGGTGAATAGGTCAATTGGGAGGACCCTTGGAAGGGATGGTGGGGCCCCAGGCTCCCTCTGGTTTCCTGTTTGCAGATGTGACTTCTTGCTCCCGTATGCACTCTCACCATCTGCTATGGACCCTCATCACAGCTGTGCTGTGCTGTTTGGACTTTCACGGTGAGCTAAGCAAACCTCTTTATAAAGTTATACTGCCTCAGGTATTGCATTTTAGTAGTGAGAATGGACTAATACAGACAGACAGACAGATAGCACTCTGACTTTCCTAGACGTCTGATCTACAGAGAGCAGCCTGGCCTCCTGGGCTGCTTACTATAAATAACAGGCTGATTTCCCATGCAGGTCTCCACACATTGGGAGTTTGAGTTGTTTGTTTCATACATTGGCTGCTGTCCATGTGTACGTTCAGTCTCTCAGTAAGTAAACCAAGCAGCTACTCTGCATGCATCAACCTCCAGTGGGGAGACAGTGTTCAGGGGAGAGCAGTGGGTTGAATAGTGGCGCCAAAATGGAGATGCTACATCCTAATCCCCAGATCTTTGAATGTAACCTTTTTGGGGAAAGTGTCTTTGCTGATGTACCTAATGTGATCTTGGGCTACCCTAGTGAGCCTTTAATCCAACCATAGGGTCCTTCAAGGAGAGAGAAGACAAGACCAAGAGAGGAGAAGAAGGCCGTATGAAGCTGGAGGCATACATGGGAGTGATGCTGCTACTGGCCAAGGAGTGCTAGGAGCCACCAGAAGTTGGAGGAAACTAGGAAGGATTTTCTCCTGGAGACTGTAGGGCATCTGGCCCTCATGACACCTTAATTTTGGATCTCTGGCCCCCAGAACTGTGAACAAATAAGTTTCTGTTGTTTTAATCTACCAGATGTGCATTGGTTTGCTCCAGCAGCACTGGAAGACCAACACAGAGACCCCTCTGCACATGTGCATTGCTACTTTCTTTCTCAGGTGCCCATTGGCCTATGGGGAGAGCTGTAGGGGAAAAGCGTGTTTCTTAGACTTAATTCAAACACCAAAAGAGTGAAAGAAAAACAGCAATTTGAACATGTGGGTATTTCAGAGTAATTTTATGCAAATAAATGTTCAGATTATTTAAGTCAGCTTTCCCATTGCTGAGACACCACACTTAAAGGAAGGGTTTAACAGAGCTCTCACTTAGCAGAGTCAGTCCATGGCTGGCTGGCCTGAAGGGAGAAACGTCACGGCAAAAGGGTACAGTGGAACAAAGATGCTCAGTACGTGGCAGCCAAGGAACCAAGCAGGGTAACAGTGCCAGAGAGCAGGGGGCTGGGGAGCAGCTATGGACCCCAAAGTCTCACCGCCATGGTCTGTACACAGAAGCCCAGGCACAGGCTGTACCACTATGTGAGGCATTTCTGACTATAATGAAGTTGACCTATCAGGCTTAAAAATCACATAGATTTATTTTGATTTTCTTCTCGATGTTTGGCCTTTTTCAGATATAGATTTCTTTGGTATGAGGTCAATAATCCCTTGTAGGTATATCTGTAGGTAATTTGCTTATATATAGCAGCTAATATCATATATATGCCAGTGATTATAAATGTAGTAGAACTCAGGCATAGTGCCAAGATAATACGTATGCTAGGGCCATGCCTAGACCCGTTATCTGAGAACTTCAGCCGTGGTCCTTCCATAACCCCATAACCAATTTTAGCACACTTAGGATTTGTCAAATGACCATTGTAGCACATTCCCCCATGTCCTGGGGTTTGTCTTTCTTTTTCCCTTATCTCTGGCCCTTTTGTGTCCATGAACTCTGGCTTCTTCTGAATTAATCTAACCATTTAGAAGTAAATAAAGCTGTCTATAGAAAATCAAATATTGCATTATATTCCACATTAAAATTCAAATTATTAAAATTCTGGATTTATCACTACTTTTCCCAATGCAAAACACCCTTGTCGTATCAGTCCTTTGTCCCTGATTAACTCTAGCAGTGTCTTTATTTTTCAAACAGTAGAATTTGGAGATATGATGAATATGCATGACAAATGCTCCTGGATACTCACAGCAGAGTTTCCCCAACTGCAACATTCAGCTGCCCTTGCAGCATACCCGCAGACACTGCCAAAATATCTCTAATAACAGATAGGCAAATGTTCAACCACACAAGGGCAAACACGTCCAAGAATAAATTGATATATTCATGTGCAAGTGATTCGTGGCTTCTGAGTGTCCATTTGTGCTGCTCAGGAGGAAGTCCCTAGACAAAAACCTGTCAACTGGCTGTCTACAAAGCAAGTCAGCTCTCTGCACAACATCAGCACACTGTTAGGAAAAAGAAGGAAAGAACAAAGGCCCGAGCTTGCCAGTCAGGATAGGTTTATTGAGAACAAAACTGAGGGACCACCCTGGCACTGAGACCAGACTGGTTAGCTCTCCTATAGACTATAAGGTCTGTTATAGAGTCATGAGCATAAAGGGTGGCTGTGAACGGAAAAGGTCAGAATGGGACTGAGGACTGAGTTCAGTGGAAAGGAGTTGTGCTGCCTGCTAGGGGCGGGGCTTGAGAAAGCACAGGGAGCAGTGCTGAAGACAGATAGGCGTTACAAGGTGCCTCTGTGCTGACTGGGCCTCATTAACCCACAATTTCACATTGTTAGCAGGTGTAAACGCACAGTAGGATGGAAGAGGCTTAAAGTACTTTTTGGTCAGCCTGGGCTGGGGACAGTTGGATTCCTTCACACACCCCTTCCTCTTTTTCATAGACGGAGGACAGCAGAAAGAAGTGATTGGGCTCAAACATGAAGGAGTGTTCTGTTGTAGGAGTACTTGTCACTGTATTTCACAGAGACGGACTGATGAAGTCACCTGCTTACCAACAAATGTACCTGAGAAGTCTCTGAGTCTCAAACTATGACATTAACATGTGTCTCAAGCCTTCAGAATGTGCATTCCCTACCACTGCCCTTCATGCTATTCGGTCCTAAGAAAATCGCAGAAACGTGCAAAAGACATATGTCCCTTTCAGATTCTATT